TTCCTCCTCACTGGATTTTCTGGCCTGGAGCAGCAATATCCCTGGTTCTCCATCCCCTTCTCCTCTATCTATGCCATGGTGATTTGGGGAAACTGCATGGTGCTCCATGTGATCCGGACTGAGCCAAGGCTGCACCAGCCCATGTTCTATTTCCTGGCCATGTTGGCCCTCACCGACCTATGCATGGGGCTGTCCACTATGCACACGGTGCTGGGGATCCTCTGGGGGCTCGTTCAACAGGTCACCCTGGATTCCTGCATTACCCAGTCCTATTTCATCCATGGTCTGTCCTTCATGGAGTCCTCTGTCCTCCTCACTATGGCCTTTGACCGGTATATTGCAATTTGCAATCCACTGCGTTATTCCTCCATCCTGACTAATTCTAGGATTATCAAAATTGGGCTTACCATATTAGGTAGGAGTTTCTTCTTTATTACACCCCCCATCATCCGTCTGAAATTCTTCCATTACTGTCGTCCCCACATCCTCTCTCACTCTTTCTGCCTGCACCAGGATCTTCTCCGCTTAGCCTGTGCAGACATCCGATTCAATAGTTACTATGCTCTGATGCTGGTCATTTGCACACTGTTATTGGATGCTGTACTCATCCTCTTTTCCTATGTCCTGATTCTTAAGCAAGTCCTGACAGTTGCCTCTCAGGAAGAGCGGTATAAGTCATTTCAGACCTGTATCTCCCACATCTGTGCTGTTCTTGTGTTCTATATCCCCGTCATTAGCCTCACAATTGTGCACCGTTTTGGCAAGCACCTCTCCCCCGTGGTCCACGTTCTTATGGGAAACATCTATATCCTTTTTCCACCTTTGATGAACCCCATCATCTACAGTGTCAAGACCCAACAGATTCGTACCAGAATACTCAGACTCTTTTCTTCAAAAAGACTCTGAGATACTCAGGTATTTAAAAAAATTTGGAAAAGAAGAAAAAGATCAAATAAATTTTATTAGAATTAGAGCTTTAGCCCTGAGTCATGATCATTTATTGTAAAACAAATTTTAAATACAGTCGGAGAATCAACTACAAATAAGTTCCTTGGTTCCACTCTAACTTCTGTCCTGGAAGTGGCTGCTCTTAGAGCCATAGGCAGGGAAGCTTCATCTGAAACATTCC